TAATTGCATCAACAACAGATACAGCCTCGGAAAATCTGCCGCCAACAGAGGATGCATTTCAACAAAGAGCAATGTTTCAGACAGCGATGGTGTCACAGCAAGGACACAAACCCTTGTTATGGAGTCCTATTGGCAAGGGGTGGATTGTCAGAGATGGGGCCATTCAACCAGTGCTATTTACAAAAACCCCAGCACCTACAGAAGTGAGAGACACTAGTCACTTGTATTGCAAAGATGCAAAGTGTGGAGAGAGTGGAAAGTGCCAGTGCCTCTCTGTTGGCCTTCCCTGTACGGGGTTCTGCACCTGCTGTGCAGAATGTAAACATGTGTCCCCTAACGTTTCTGAGGAACCTGACATTTAACATTATATTCTAGTATCTATATGCTTGACCTCTCACTGAATTATTTGATGAATTTTATACTGTACTTTGAATTAAGGTTCCAGTTTCAATAAAACCTGTACTATTTACACCTATGTTTTAGAGGCTTGCAATTTAGAACTAATACACTTCATTGTATTGGGTTACTCTTATTCTGACTATTTGGTGATGTAGTTCAGCCACCTGCTATTTCCCTCTCCAAATATAATGACCATCAGAGTGAGCATTCTTAACTTATAGGTTATTATGCCACTTATCCCCCATTCGGAATTTGACTGTCTCAGAGAAGAGGTAGGCCTATATCTAAAGAAATCTCATTTGCAATATAACTGTACCAGATATTTCCATACAACTACTGGTGTTCAATAGCACCCTAGACAATTCAGTAATGGTATATTTTTTATGGATTTCTGTTTTTCTGATAAATGAGAGAAAAAGTGATTGAGTCCTATGTTCCTATCACCAAAAATCACAATTTCCATCTAAACTAAAGCTAAGTTTACAGGACCATAATTCAGTATTTTTTTAGTTAAATAATTGTCTGACTATTTAGTGATGTAGGACAGCCACCTGGTTCATACCTCAGCAAATCTGAAGAGGAAAAGAGTTGTCATTCTCAAGTTATGGGCTTTTTTGTCACCTTTCCCATATTCAGCCTGGTCTAATTTGGCTCTTTTTCAGGGATTGGGGTAGTTATAAAGAACAACCCAAAAAACATTTTTTCCCCCAAAATAAAATTTGACAACAATCAATTTCATTAATGGGAGACCCTAAAGATAAGAAAAATCATTGTTGTCATTTGTTCTACCTCGGGTAGGGGTATCTCGAAAACTAAAGCCTTTTTTGAGGACTTGCTGCTGGACTATCTAGTATTGTTACACTGCAAATGTATCATTTACCAGCATCACAATCATTTCAAGTTACATAGACATGCTATGTATTTATCCATGCTAGCAGCAGGATTCTCTCTGCCCGGTCCTTGGGTCGGCCCATCACTTTGGTCCAGACTTAAATATCTCACTAACTATTGGATAGGCCAAGGATTTATGACGGAAATGTACGGTCCTTGGAGAATAAATGTTCCCCCGGACACGAAATGCATCATTATTTGCTAACTAGCTAATGTTAGCATACACGCTACACTCAGATGTAGTTGTTAACATTGAGTCAGCTTAAAAGTCCAGTGTTTAAGATTTTAGGGGAATTCATGTGAGAAATTATTCTATTACACTATCGAAAACTGTGGCTCTAGCGAGGGCCTTTCCTGCTTTGACCTTACCTTAAGGCCACCAGAGCTTCTCCAAGAAATTTGGAAAGGGAGGGCTAAGCTAAATGGTATTCACTTGGTTGCAATCTGCAACCTCACCACTAGGTGCTACTTCATCCTACCTAAACACTGGTCCTAATGTCATTTAGTTAGCATGTTGAAGTTAGCATCCAGCCTCACATAGCTGCTAACACAGGTCTTTTTGTAATGTACAGATACTCATCAAAAGTGTGATATGTAGGGTAGAAAACAACTGATGTTACAAAGAAGAAAAAGGCAAAGTAGTGAACTGCACCATTCTGAGCTAGTGCTTACCATAAACTATGACCTGAGTTTGCCTGGTTATGGTTGTTCCCACGATGGTGACGTTGCAGATGTACAGGCCAGTGTCTCTGACGTTGACGCTGTGGATGGTGAGGAAGCTAACAGCCTCTGTGGCGTGAGACAGAGCTTCACGAGAAGGCTTAGTGTCTTCCCTACTGTTCGGCTGGTGAGAGGAAATTACATTTAAGTTTTTATTTACTGGTGCCATTCATCATGACCAACTCTCGCTGCCTCATACCTGTTTGCGGGGGTAATACCACTTTATGTCCACTCCAGTGTCGAACTCCACCGACGCTGTGCAGTTGAGGGCCAGGGCCTCCCCCACTATCAGCTCCACTGGATCCTCAGGAAACAGCTTGACATCGTAAACCTGACTTCCTGTCCGGGAAAGAGAAAAAAGGGGGGAGGTAGAAACAGAGGGACAGAGGGAGGGGAGACAGTGATAGAGGTCACGGTGACATCGTCAGCAGTTTTTCCTTCCTCGCAGGACCAGAGGAAATGACTTTCCTCTGGACCAGCGAGGCCATCACACTACAAAGAATTAAGTCTCACAAGTTCACGTTATTTTCATTCCTCCTATAAGCTATATATCAGTGAAGAAAATTAATACATAGAAACTTTAATTCAAGATAAGACGGAAAAAAGCAAGAAAGCTCTGGACACCGGCCAGTGTCTCTGATATTCAAGCCACCTCTCTCTGCAGTCTCTGGAAATAACATGGGGTGTAAAAAAACAAGTATGCTGGCGATGTCTCTGCAGCAGACTGTGATTGCCTGATAGTTTAAACGCTCCATTAGCGTTCGAAGCGAAGACTCGCTCTCAGTTTCTCCTCTGACTGATGCTGATGTTACTTTTGGCCCAGCAGCGGTGGGTATGAGTTTCCTTTCACCCTCTGCAGTGAGAGGTGAATGATCTCACACAACATAAAAAAGAGCCTCTGGGCCCTCAGAGTTCATTCGCAATGAGAGTGATCCTCGTCATGAAATCTCTTCATCTTAGTTCCCTACAATTTAATTAAGCCTCCCATTCTCTTCCTCTTCATCTCATTTAATTCTGCTGACATAATGGCACACGACCTTGCATTAAAAAGGGATTTGTATTTTTTTTGGAGGAAACAATATTATGAAATTAAATCCATCAAATTGTCAGCATTAAGGCTTAATTGGCTGCCATGTAAAAAAAATGTTGACAGTGCAGTCAGCCTGGCACCACCTTTGATTTCCTTTCTAATTTCTGTTTCAACAAAAGTACAGCTTCAAATCTCATTAAAATATTTATACTGGGTCACGTTTGCTTTTGTAGCTGCCTAAGCTAAGGTGCGTGTGGTGGTCGTTAATGTTTTTGCTGAAACACAAGAGGAGATGATCAATTTGAACCTTTGGAGACATTATCTTTTTTGTACCTGTTGTGTGGAAAATGTAGCTAGGAGATTGATAGTCTTTGCCTCCTAGTGTTGCCCCACACAAAACTCCGATGAGCATTGGCACACTGGCCATGACGTTTCTGGGAATGGTCCAACCTCGCTTGTTGTCCCATGTCATCTTGTCGGTTTCTAGAGGCGTGGGATACTGAGATGACACACAATAAAGTAAATAATGAAATATTTGACAGCTTCAATTAGAGGAACACAGTGTGAGAAATCTGTGGTGAGTATACAAACCGCATGGAGAGTGACGTTCAGATCGGGCACCGTGACCAGGCATGGTACTATGACGTGGGTGGAGAAGTGGTTGATGAAAATGATCTCCATGTCGCTGCCTCTCTGGAGGAAGGGCTGCTCGGGGTCTGGGTGCAGATAGAAACAGGGAGGGAGCTGTTTAAGGGTAACCCTGATGCCAGCCGGGATAATGGCAGCGATTACTGAGATAACTTCATGAGCAGACAGCAATATATCTCACAGCGTCATAATGAACCCCATATAAAAGACAAGCCATATGTGGGAGACAGCTGAGAGGTGTTTCCTCCCCTAAACAGTGTTTGTATATCCCTTAAGCTGTGTGTTAGTGGACAAATATCTCTTGTTTTTCTTCCTTAACACCTCGATGTCTCTATTTGTCTGTAAATCAAAGCTGATGTTGCAAGAGGGCTCTGAGAGACATCACAGCCAGTGTGATACCAATTTTCATTATGATTATTATCACTACAACACCTTCTAGTCCCTAAGCAGGAGTGCAAAATCTCTTAGACTTTCCTGTCAATACTTTTGTACCGGAGACAGTGATGTTGTGGGACTACCTGCTCGGCTATTTTTCTTATTTCTCGTCTTCTCACGATAAGCCTTCTTATTATATTATTTTTTTTCTGCAGCAGTCAAAGCTATAACATCAATCATCTGCAAGGCCAAACAATGGGTCCGATCGAGAGGCTTATATTTGCCCTGCAGCGTCCTGAATAAACACAGGTTACAGAAACAATACACAATTCTTCTCAGTTTAAGTTCTTCACAATAAATCACTGCAGGTATTAGAGTGCAATCGGTTTTGTAAGAGGAGATGTCGCACCTGGGGCAAGAAGAGGGATATGAGCCTGGGTATGAGTGTGAAAAAGTGTGTGTCAGATGAAGTGTTTGTTGGTTTTAAATGAGCCTGTGTGAAGCAGATACAGTGCATTCATGCATGCGGGTCATACTGTACGCCCATGTGTTTTTATATGATAGTGTGCAGCAGAGACCAGGTGAAGGGGCGACGTCTGCCTGTCTAACTCAATCCACATGCGTCTCTTCTCCTCCCGCCACACGCTGGGTCTAATCTATGGCTGTGATTTCATCTGCTTCTGATCAGCCCCCTGGTTAGATCTGTGGAAACTGTTTTGGCACCTTGTCACAGGAGATAAACAGGCGTTTCACTTGAGTGGACTGGTCAGCAGGATTCCCTTACATGACAATCATCTGTCTCTCTGCAAATCTCCCTATCCCTTCCTCTATCTGCATTTCTCCCACAGCACACGGAGCGAGGCTAGGAAAAGGGAAGAGGGCTGAAATTTGTCTAAAAGAATGAAGGTAGGAATGATGCTTGGAATAATAATAACATATGAGACACATTGAAACCAGGAGAGAAAACATAAGTAGCCAATCTTATTGTGCCGGTCCTATCAGATTTGACACATGAAAAGTCTCTCGCAAAGATAAATCCACAGAAAGCTGCTGCTATATTTCAATATTAATAAATTGAAAGCGTATCGTTTCTCTAATTAGAAAAGGAAATGAGCTGCTAATTTCTACCACTATCAAACACTTTGCATCTCTAATTTCCGATAGACTAATCCTGCCCGCTTCCAGGTTGCTGCTGAGGCAAAGTCAACCATTTCCAGCTCTTATAACTTCAGTAATAAAGTTAAAAGAGATCTGTTTCAGTATGACACCTATTGATCTTTTAGGGTTGAACTGAAGGGTACACACAGACAAGCCAAAGAGCTGCCAAGGCAAGAGATCAAAAAGTATCTCTTAAACCACAGAAAAAGTTCAGGCAGCAAAATCTCCTCACAAACTGCAGACTCACTACTATATAAAATGGATTTCAAAAAAGGAGAGATAACTCATGATCAGTTCATGGTCTAAGTTGACTTACAAGGATTTTCCATTTTATTTTTCTTGCGTCAGCATACAGTATGTGTGGATTATTGGTGTGGGACTCACCCCTGACGAACACATAAACGCTGACGGCAGTGGTGCCGACGATGATGGCCTTGACATCCTTGTAGTAGCAGCGGTAGTAGCCCGTGTCTTTGGCCTGCGCCCCGTTCAGGATCAGCCTCTTGCAGTACGGCCTCCCGGGCTGCCCCGGACACTCGCTGACTAGGACCACCCTCGGCCCGGGGGTCCTGGGGGTCGGGAGCTGCGCCTGGCGGTCTGTTAGCTCCTGGCCCACCAGAGTCTGATCAGGCCAGGCCCAGGCCAGAGTGTGCTGCCCCCTGACACCACATGGGACATTTGGATTTAGAATCAGGTTCAGAGTGATAAATCATCAGCTTCTGGTCCAATTTCAAATAAAAGGATAGGTTAAAAACACACTTCAATATAATTATGGGTACCGGACATCTGTTTGGCCTACTTGTTCTCCCGTGTTTTTTCAGAACACATATGAGACGTATCAGTCTATGTTTTTGAAATTGGGGTTTTATATTTTGTTGTGTTTTTAAAAAAAATGACATTGTGTATGAGACTCTTTCAGTCTGTGGCTATAAGATAGATAGATAGATAGATAGATAGATAGATAGATAGATAGATAGATAGATAGATAGATAGATAGATAGATAGATAGATAGATAGATAGATGAAAAAAAAGAAAAAAAAATTAAGAAATACAAATTTCCAGTAACAAGTATAATGCAGTTTATTATTGTGCAAGAATGGATTATTCAATATTAAATAGAATATGAATGTAAAATGTCGAGTGGGATATTAAGTAAGGTTTTATTGTCTCGTGCTCTTACATTTTTTTCGGTTTTGTCTAAATGTATTTATGCTGCTTTTTCTAATTTATTGATCAACTCGTTGTTTTCAAATGTGCAATATAAATAAAATTGGATTGGATTGGATTTTAAGCCGATTTGAAAAGTTATGAACATATTGAAAGTATATTGTTATCTGTATTAATCACATTCTAACCCATAAGGCGTCGCAATAATTTGAATCAGAATATTTCCTTAATCCAGAGGAAATTTGGGTTGTGTAACAGTTCCTCAATTTTAGAAATAAAAAAATAAAAAGGTAATTTAAAAACATTGAATAAAATATGTATATAAACATAGGAAGTTAAAGTAACTTTTTGCACACTGTAGAAGTGTTTGTGTGACCGGAAACCAGTGTGTGAATGTTCATTTGTGTGGGTGTGAATTCCCTGTTTGCTCTATGCTTTGTCGCATAAATTCAGTTATAGTTGGACGTGGTAACCCGGAGGCTTTATGAGTGAGATTGAGTGGAATCATAATGGCTGTCTGAGAACTGATAGCTATGCTCTCAGCACCTGCAATCCCCTCTCTAACATGTATCTATAGTTCTCTAGAAACATTTGACATTGCAGATTACTAGAGTCGCTGGCCATGTGAGGTTTATATGCAAACAACTATTCAAGACATTCCAAAGGCATCATCAGCTTTCCAAAGACATCATGCACCACGGAGGAGGAAACGCTTAACGGAGTGACAGCTTGGCAGCAGGCAGCACAGCAGAGATCTCATAAGGATAAAGGACGCTTATTAAGGGGCTTTCATACCTCACTTAGACTCAGATTTAAATCAGTGTTGGCTGGGTTTTAGAACAAAAACGTTGCTGTTTCCAAAAGGACTCATCCATTTAATATATGGACTTGTGATGCACATTTATCAGCGTTGGAGGAACTGTTTAGTCTAAAATAGCAACAGTACCTATCATACTATATTTGAATAATATAGTGTAGGACCATACCTATATAAGGCATATTTATACTTTTTATTTTTCAAGATACCAAACAGATCATGCATTTTAGCCATTCCTCATTTCGCTCAATTTAACACTGTCTTTGCATGGGCTGATTCTGTGAGAACAGCACCATCTACAGGCCTGGCATATGTACTACAGCGTCTCCAGCGCTTTCGAACGGCAATGTCCGTGGCTGTCTCCTCCTGATTGGTGGAGTTGGCCCAATAGCCGTAGCGCCACTTCTGTGACGTCATAGAAGTGTTCAAATCTGGATCAGTCTGTATCAGATCCGTTGCAGCCCCTTTTTAAGAGATTTTGGTATGAAGGAAAATAGAGAGGGTTGTGTTTTCTGACACTTGGTGAGTTCCCTGGAACACCGGGGACACATATTTATGTATAAAAGACGTACAAAAGTGCATTTTGCATGATAGGTCACCTGAATAATCAAGTAAAAGCCCTGCACTGAAAGCGTTATTAAAGTAAAAGTGCCAAGGGGTTTATAGCTAAATTAACTTGAGGTATCAAACTTTGTTCTGAGTTTTGCTCTTTTATATTCAAAAATGTATCAGCCAATTGATCTCTCTCATACAAACCACAAATGAGAGCAGCACGGACACACACCTGCATGTAATAGTGAGTGTTTGGTGGACAGGAATCACTAGGTCGTCTTTGGAGCTGTCAAGGATGGGTGGAGTCATAGAAAAGCCAATCACCAGACCTGAGGGAGCAAACAAGGCATTAGATTCATGTTACACAGATTACAGCCAGGACCTACATGTCAGAGCTGCCGGTATGCTGTCAAATCTCCCAAACACATCTGTAGCCTGAAATATGACACGACAGCAGCTCAGACGGCACATTGTTTATTACATTTACAAGCTGTAAGGCAAAGCACTAGGTTCCTGATACTGTGAAACACACAGAACAGAGAAATGATGGCCATAATGCTGCTCGGAGCCTGTTTCCACCTCTGGAAAAGCCCATTTGCCCCTTGATTCATTGCCTTTCACCTCACCTACTCAAGCTGGGTTAATATGGCCGGCTCAGAATATCATTACTGTCCCAGATTTTCCTCAGGGTGCAATAAGCGTCAGACTCCAAACCTACAGTTTATCATATAGAAAGTGTCATCATCACTTATGTCCCACCTGGATCTCATTAGAGCTGAAAAGGCACACAGTGCAATACCTGAGAGGGTGAAGGAGAGGCTTTATGGGCGTTTTCTATAGCATAGGAAACAAAGGAAGGAAAACAACCTCTAAATGCAATGTAATGTCTTTTTTTAACATTGTAATCTTTATTCTCTTTTTCACATTACTTTGTTAAATTATTGACACACAAATGTAGAGCATGTGTAATTCAGACAACAGGCTAAACGACAGACAGACCAAACGGAGGAGCAGCGAGAATGATTTCACAACAGTCAGTCGTGACCTGCTGCCAATCAAAACCCGGAGCGCCGGACAGCTGTGATTCTTGTAAACAAGCCTCATTCCTCCAACACATCCTGCTGCCCTGGGAGCACAATAGAGCAAGGTTTTCCTCATGTAAATATTTTGTTAATCCTGTTTACAGTAAAAGGCTGATCCCAATGGAAGGAGACTCATCAGCCTCGGCTACCTCCAATATTGAAGGAGCTCCCAGATAGCACTAACTGTGAGACTGTCTTGAGTTCAGTAAAGTATTGACATAAGAAACTTTAACACAATGGAAAAAGTTTTTTCCACCTTTTCTTGACCCGTTTTGTGTATTTCTTCTTCCTTGAGACTTTCCGAATGACTTGAACACAATGCTTTTATTGAAAATGATTTGCATGACAATAACCAAGGTCAGGTTTTTGCTGCACTGATGAAATAGTTTTCTTCTCTGAGCCAATTAAATGAAGAAACTGTATTCAAATATATAGAAAATGCAATATAATGAGACAAACGTTTAGACAAGAAACTTGATAAGTTTGCTTTTTACATCAATATTTTATAAATGTATTTTTTAGAATAGTTATAGTTTTCCTGTTGATATGAGAAGATGATAAGATCAAACACTCTTATGAATGTCTGTACTCCCATTTGATGTAGATGTATTGATAATATGTACAGTATAAATGTAAATGTTTAATCAGTTTAATGCAGACTAATGTACATGTCTTGTGCTGTCGGAGTGACTCTGCCGGTTGCCTGGCAACCTCACCGTATCGACAACACTAGGGATTACGTTTTTTTTGTTGGGATTAGACAAACGAGATAAACAACGTGTTAATTAGAGAGCTTTAGGGGTGCTGTTAGTTCAATCCACAGATTTGACACATCAAAGTCTGTTTATAGGTGTTAGGGAGAACTACTTCAGATGTGAAGAAAGTTTTATAAGTCCTTTTGTGTCTCAAGTGGAGGCTGCGCAGAGTCTGATAAAAAATAAAACACTCTCATGCTCAAGGGGTGATGTTCCCATCGTTAGCAGGAATGTTTGGAGAGATTTGGATAATTTAACAGATTTGGTTTGCCAATTAAGTTAAAGAAATGCGTATGACAATTTTACACAGACACTATCCGTTCAATGAATTAGTTCCCAATTTGAGTTACCCTTTATGTTCCTTGTGCATTAATGAGGTTCATTACATGTCAGCCAACATTGTCAGATGATCTCAGGATTTTAAGTGGTTTATATCTTTGTTGTGAGTATCTTTGAAAGGTAAGAACAATGTGTGTAATAAAGAATTCTATGCTGCATCAACCTTTGTCATTTCTTATTATTATTGGCTTTTTTCATCTCATCTGTGTCTGTCATATATTGAACTATAGTGCTTTATTGCCACAGGTGTTGAACGTCTTTCTTACAATATATTGATCACATTGCAAATATATGTTTTGATCTCCGCTGGGGATTACAACTGTGTCAACAAAACCAGATAGCATTATGTGTTTCTGTCTTTGCTCGGATAGTAAAAGTGATCATAATGCAAATATAGAACCATGAATGTGAACCAGGACAGCTGATATCGTCATTCTGACAGAAAACAAACACACAACACTAAAGTGGGAAGTTTTGGTCAGTCCATGAATCATTCCTAGCTTGACTCCCAGCAGGGTATTCCTTCCTTACCCTCACAGAGATCTTTAACTCCAGAGGAGAAGCAATGTTTTCCCAACATATTGTCTCAGCTCAGATGTGAACCCGCGACCAGCTTCAAGCCCATCGCCACAACACAGCTTCTTCCTCACACCTGAAATACAGTGAAGCTACACTAGGCTGTGTAACATAAACACACACAGAGGTCGACACAGAGTCCTCCAAGAGCTACGGACAAGGGGAAAGTGTGAAAGGAAATTCCTCTCAGAATAGCTTACATCTTCACTATTATTGGAACAGCACATTTCCTTCACACGCTCAAGGAGGAGAACGAGAGCGATCATACAGATAAGCGCTGGAACACAACTTCTATAAAGTTCTCTTCCTGTATAGACTGAAGACCCAACTTGGGAGGTTTTTAATTTCTGCATAGCATTACAATTCCAGCCATAGCGACGCCTTGAACTACAGCGTACACTACACTTGTCCGTACCATTTACTAAGTGCTGCGTACAGTATGCCGCGCAGTTCTTTTTGCGTGCTGCCATTTTTTTTTTTGTCTTGAACACTATTATATGACAGATGTGTTCTTATAATGAGTTTATTATCCACTCAGTTAAATGGAACTTTGATTGAGTTTGTACAAAACAACATGCCGTATCATGCAGTGGAAATGCTTTTGAAAGATAAAATGGTTATTTTGTATAATCTAAGGACTCATCTCCCAGACAAGGCACTATTAACATAAAGTCTGTTCAACAGTTAATACATATTATTATGGGAACATATAAAAGAAAACAGTGTTGTGACAGGGTTTTCCTCCCGAGAGACGTGCAGAGTGATGAATTCTGCGCTAAATCGCTAGTCTCCATGATGGATGCTTCCCTCACAATCAGTGCAGAGATCTCACTCTGACAGACAGGATGCAAATTGTAAATGTTTTTAAAATGCCATGATTGACTGGCATGCCCTGAGAGACAACACATCAAGATTCTGGAGGTGTATGGTGGGAGGGAAGCTGGAAAAAGATGTAGTTGCTATTAAGGGAAGATTTCAGCTTCTGTTATTTGAAATGCTTAAGTATAACAAGATGGATCTATCCCAGCACGGCAAGAGTGTCTCACAACGGAGGGCAGAAGAAAGACATTACACACACAGAGAGAGTCCAGCTAAAAGCTCTTTGTAGCCACAGATCATTCAAACTAATGCAATGCATGACAAATGTCCTCTGGGTTTGAGGCTAATGTGCGCCACATTACTTATCAGGACTTTAGATCTCCTATATATCGCTTGTCATTCTAAGTGACTCTCTCATAATTGCCGAAGGAGGTGCTGGAAAGTCAGAAGTTAATATGTGCTGGGTTACATATGGCTGCTGGCCAAAAGCTCTCTGCTGTTTGGACACTTCAGATTGATGAGAGGTTTGGGGCGTGGGCTTTTCTAAACCCTAATGTAGATGACTCTCACCCATGATGCTCCAGGAGCTCCTTCCCTCCCATATTACACAATAATGAAAAGCTGTTGTGCCAAATGTCAGAGTCTTCCATATGGATGTTCTGTATAATGTTTACACCACGTTTTCAAACTGTGAGACACCAGATATGAAGGCATGTCGCCCTGTCAGCAGAATTTAGGGTTTGTAAAAATATATAATCCCATTAGCAATCGTTTGCACTTGTCAAATATAATTAAAAGCACACGTTGCACCGATGTACAGCTATGTGAGGGAATGCCAAGGAAAACCAAACAAATCAATTCTTGCAAGTTCATGGCCGATAGCATATCTAAACACATTTTCCTGCTCTGACCTTTCATGCTGCGTTTCTTGACAGATTGTTATGACTGTTATCACTCAGTTCGCTCATTTATCTTAGTATGCGTTCAACAGCTCTCCACGAATGGTGCAAGCCTTTTTAGCTGCAGGACTGTCAGCACAAACTAAATGTGGAGGTGGAGAGTGAGTAAGAGCTGCGGCTGTTACACTTCTGTACTCAGACCTGCAGCATTAAAATCAAAGTGAGTACACGGTAAGTGTAGTTACCTCAGATAAAATGTTACAGTTCATTGTCGTGATGAAACTGAACAGACTTTAATTCTTTCACTTACGAGTTATGTTTTCGGCTCATTTCCTGATCAGGTTTGTCCGTCAGCAGAATAACGGAAACCTCCTGAATCTTGGATCCTGCTTGAGTTGTGTAATAGATCACAGTGAACATATTGCCTGCATTATCTTTGTCAGTGTTTTGTTTTCCTTGCAAAATGAAGATTGATTTGAAAATCGTGTTTATCTTGGACAAAAATAAATGGAGAGTCAATGTTTAATATAGCACAACATAGGCTGGTATAAAAAGTCTGATAATAGTTTTTTTAATAACAGACGGCAATGGATAAAGGGTCAGAAAACCAATTGAATGTTATGCCAATTGGTTTGCAGTAATGTGATGTGTATTTGTTGAAAATGACTGTTATTCTGAGGCTAACAACATCTGACGGATCAACATGTATCCATTTGAAATTATTGCTGGCTTGAAATACTGGACAATTGGCTTGTTGGCAACACCCGTACTAATGTGAACATGGGGCAGAGAGCCAAAATAATATTTGAGCTTGGTTCCCCACTTTTTCCCATGCATTCCAGCTGGTGGTGCAGAGATA